TGTTCCATCATCGTGGTCGGGTCCAGCCCAGGTTTCCACCAATACGCTCTGTGGTCCTCTGGACTTCTGCGTATTATTTCTGCGTATTATTTCTGCGTATTATTTCTGCGTATTAGTTCTGCGTATTAGTTCTGCGTATTATTTCTGCGTATTATTTCTGCGTATTAGTTCTGCGTACTCAGGCTGGAGGTCGTTGACCCTGCAGGAACAAACATCATCATGTGAACATCTGTGGTTGAACTCTTCTGTCTCCTCGGCCAATCGGATGGTTTTGCTCTTTAGATGTTTGTTTCTTTGGGTTCAGAGTTGATTTTTTTCCACACCGTCCACTTTACTCGAACGTGTGAATGTGCTGGGTTTGTTTTGTTTTAGGGTGTTCATGCAACAAGAAGAGTTCGAGTCTCCTCTTTAAGCACTTTGGTTGTTACTCTGCTGAAAGCGGCTCTTTCAGTGTTCTGCACTGAAGCTCTCGCTGAGCTTCAGGAACGATGAGCTAAATGTTTCAGTTTTGTTTGGCAGTTCTGATCAGCTGATTTTAGAAGTAACAACTGGACGTTTGATGGGAACCTTAGGGAAAAAGAAGTCCCAAACAGAACCTGTGAAGTTCTGCTGCGTTCTGTTAGCTCGGCGCTCAGAACGCTGTCGGGTCTGACTGAACGGAGTTCCAGATGGAAACCCAGCAGGGTTCATCTGACAAGTTGAGTCGGGTCCTCTGGACGGATTCTTCTTTGTTCAAACATTTTCCTCAGTCTGAGGAGCTGCAACAAACGCAGTCTTATAAACAGCACCTTCTCATGGTGGATCAACCAGTTTGTTGTTGACATCCAGAACCAGCTGTTCACATGATGGAGGACCATCAGGACACTGACTGATCGTTAGCACCTTGATGGCCGCGTGCTGTTCACAGGGGCCTGAGTGATGCTATACCAGCATTGTAAGAGGGGGACAGTTGGACACTGAGGCTCCGCCCCGTTTAATGATGGTCAGGTTCTCTTCACAAACACGGCCTCCTTCACTCCTCTTTCAAACCATCGTTCCTCTGGATAAAAGCCGAAACGTTTCAACAAAGAACCTGCCCAGAGGACTGGACCCAGCCTCGTTGGATTTCTCTACCTGGATCCTCGAGCATGCATCAGGACAGTTTGGACCAGCACGGTTCAGTTAGCAGCTAACTCCTGTTAGCATGTCCTTCAGAACCAGTCCTGCTCCTTCTGTGGATCCAACCAGAACATGTTGGTTGAACAGAACTGTGTTCTGACTTCTGAGTACAAACTGAACGCAGCATAAACCTAAAGACTCAGTTCTGGGTGGTTCGGTTCTGGGTCTGAATCAATACCCTGTTGTAGTGATGAACCTGTGAGGTTTATTTATTAATTAACATTTATTTATTTATTTATTTATTAACCTTTATTTATTTATTAACCTTTGTTTATTTGTTAACCTTTGTTTATTTGTTAACCTTTATTAATTTATTAACCTTTATTTATTTATTAACCTTTGTTTATTTATTAACATTTATTTATTTATTTATTAACATTTATTTATTTATTAACCTTTATTTATTTATTAACCTTTGTTTATTTATTAACCTTTGTTTATTTATTAACCTTTGTTTATTTGTTAACCTTTGTTTATTTGTTAACCTTTATTTATTTGTTAACCTTTGTTTATTTGTTAACCTTTGTTTATTTATTAACCTTTGTTTATTTGTTAACCTTTGTTTATTTGTTAACCTTTGTTTATTTGTTAACCTTTGTTTATTTATTAACCTTTATTTATTTATTAACCTTTGTTTATTTATTAACCTTTGTTTATTTATTAACATTTATTTATTTATTAACCTTTATTTATTTGTTAACCTTTGTTTATTTATTAACCTTTATTTATTTGTTAACCTTTGTTTATTTGTTAACCTTTATTAATTTATTAACCTTTATTTATTTATTAACCTTTGTTTATTTATTAACATTTATTTATTTATTAACATTTATTTATTTATTAACCTTTATTAATTTATTAACCTTTATTTATTTATTAACCTTTGTTTATTTATTAACCTTTATTTATTTATTTATTTACATTTATTTATTTATTAACCTTTATTTATTTGTTAACCTTTGTTTATTTGTTAACCTTTATTTATTTATTAACCTTTATTTATTTATTAACATTTATTTATTTATTAACATTTATTTATTTATTAACCTTTGTGTATTTATTAACCTTTGTTTATTTATTTATTAACCTTTGTTTATTTGTTAACCTTTGTTTATTTATTAACCTTTATTTATTTATTAACCTTTATTTATTTATTAACCTTTGTTTATTTATTAACCTTTGTTTATTTATTAACCTTTATTTATTTATTAAGCTTTATTTATGTATTAACCTTTATTTATTTATTTATTAACCTTTATTTATTTATTGATCTTTATTTATTAACCTTTGTTTATTTGTTAACCTTTGTTTATTTATTAACCTTTGTTTATTTGTTAACCTTTGTTTATTTATTAACCTTTATTTGTTAACCTTTGTTTATTTGTTAACCTTTGTTTATTTATTAACCTTTGTTTATTTGTTAACCTTTGTTTATTTGTTAACCTTTGTTTATTTGTTAACCTTTGTTTATTTATTAACCTTTGTTTATTTATTAACCTTTGTTTAACCAGGGAAATCCCAGTGACACCACAGATCTTTTATAATGGAGATCTGGACCTGAAGGCAGACTAACATGCATGTTTTTGATCTGTGGGTGGAAACTCACGCAGCACGAGAAGAACATGTAAACTCGACACAGAAAGACCACAGGTCCAACCGGGGATTGAACCCAGGACTTTCTTGCTGTGAGGCAACAGTGCTAACCACTGATCCACCGTGCTGCCAAGGTTCAGCTTAAGTCTTTCAGCTAAGGCAGATAGCAAAGCTGAAGTCCGTTCTGTCCAGATCCGACCTTAAAAAACTAGTCCATGCATTTATTACAACCCGGCTGGACTACTGTAACTCACTTCATGTTGGGGTCAGTCAGGCTTCACTTTCACGTCTCCAGCTCGAACAAAATGCTGCAGCTCAGCTACTAACAGGAACTGGCAGGTTTGAGCACATTACTCCGGTTCTGTCCTCCCTTCACTGGCTTCCTGTATGTGTCAGAGTTGATTTTAAAATTCTCCTGCTGACATTCAAGTGCATTAACGGCCTCACACCATCATACCTCTCCGACCTTCTTCATCCTTATGCTCCTTCTCGGGCTTTGAGATCATCAGACCAGCTGCTTTTGGCCGTACCAAAAACCATCTGAAGCTCAGAGGAGATCGGGCGTTTTCAGTCGTGGGCCCTAAACTCTGGAACAATCTGTCAATCAATATTCGACAGGCCACCTCAGTCCCTGCTTTTAAATCTCTCCTCAAAACACATCTGTACTTACTGACACATCTGTACTCACTGACACATCTGTACTCACTGACACATCTGTACTCACTGACACATCTGTACTCACTGACACATCTGTACTCATTGACACATCTGTATTCACTGACACATCTGTACTCACTGACACATCTGTACTCACTGACACATCTGTACTCACTGACACACCTGTACTCACTGACACACCTGTACTCACTGACACACCTGTATTCACTGACACACCTGTACTCACTGACACATCTGTACTCAGTGACACATCTGTACTCAGTGACACATCTGTACTCACTGACACATCTGTACTCACTGACACATCTG